TGGCAAGCATGCTGTCATGGCAGTCACTTACACACATGCAAGAATGCTAAAGCATAAACACTTACAGTGTACTCTGAGCCAAAAAAAAAAAAGCTAGTTAGTAATCAATGCATGATCCTAGCTATTTTAACAATGCCTAATGCAACACATGCAAAAATGCAACTAAAATAGGCTCGACTATCTAAGATGGCATATGAATGCTACTTGATAACATGTATTCAAGTTGGTATTGAATTTCAATGCAGTTTGTATGATGCGCCGAGCTCGGTGCATGCAAGATAGATGAATGGATGCACGCATGTAAGCATAAGTATGCTAATCGAAATATGCCCTAAACTAACCATCGAAAGTTGATAAGTAAAAGAGAGAAAGACGTGGGGTTGGAAGACATACATCACACACACGCACACTTATTACAAAATTCGCCCTCTCGATGGAGGGTCCGAATAAATCAACTAACTAGCTACGCTAAGCTAATTAATTACAAACTGAATTGAAACTAGCTATACTAAGCTAATTAGAATATTACAAAGATGAAATAAATTAGCTAAATATGTTAACTAATTAATTACAAAATCAGCAAATTAACTAGCTAAACAAAGCAGTTAAAATGGCCTCGAGGGGAGGGAGATATGCATGCTCGATTGCCTCGCTCGGAAATCCATTGCCATGCCACCAATTGCCTCAATTTGCACTCTTTTGGACTTCTGAAAATTGTATCAACTCCCAGATTACTTTTGACCTATCCCAGGAACATTCTGAGGAATGATCGGCCAGAGATGGTGGCCATCGGCCAGAGTTGATGGTCATCGGCTAATTTTGATAGTCGATCGGCAGACTTGGTGGCCGGTCGGCAGCTTTGATGGCCGGTCTGCCATTGCTTCCTACAATTTCTCCTTTTGCTGCAACAGAGCACAAACAGGGGCATGACAGTGTACTTGCAAGGTATGTCTGCACAACCACCCTCCCTATCATTTCTCAAGCTCAAGGGAGTGCGGTACTCGACTCTCAGACCATCAATTACACATCTCAATGCATGATGGCCAAAGGAGCCAAGTTTGCACAATTCAATGTCAATGAATGCACAAATAGACTCGATGAGCCTCCACCCTATCATGCACAATCAAGGGTGTCGGCGACTAAAAAATGAGGCACGTTTCATCACTTCAAGTATGAAACGTCTCTCGTTTCTTGTGTTTGGATTAACGTCCTATTCAAACACATGCAATGCAACGCAAACATGTTATCTTGGCATGCTTTACTTCAATTCAATTTGTTTACTCATTTTAGATTACCAATTAATCCTTTAATCGGTTAAGTCCAAAAGTGAGAAGTCCTCTAAATGGAAAGACGGACTAAGCCACAAGCATCTTGAGCATGAAAAAAGCATCATGCCGTTGGTTAGTAAAAATCCTCAAGAGAAGGCTAAAACCATTAGGCATGAACGCCTCTATTTCGTGCTCAAACCAACAAAGGGCTTAAAACCTCTTTCAAAGTGATATAACAAATGAAGAATGGGATGCAATGACATACATTCCAGCACTGAAATAGTATGTTAAATGACATTGAAACATGAAAATGATGCATGCAAGATATGCTTAGAGCTAAGAACGCCAAAGCTAGTGAAGTGCATTACACTAGAAGCATGCCATACAATGCTCAAATGATTAAACCAGCCCAAAATAGAGCTATAGCAGGCCAAAACAGTGGCTAAAATGATTTGAAATGATAGCATGAAAGGCGAGAAATGCATGCTCATGCAATGGCTTACAAACAAGGCATAAAGGTGCAACTCTCAAACACATTAAAGGAGTGATAAGCATGAGAGTATGGCAAAGATATAAGCTCTGAAATACCATTCCAAATGATGCCAAGGCATGCAAACATCACAAATATAGCATGCTAGTGGTCTCAAAAATCAAGACTAGTGAAGCCCTCTATGCCATAGCTATACAAAGCAAGCCCCAAAAGGCCAAGAACACTCAAAACAGTCCAAAAGCATGTTAAAATAGTACCAAAACATGCATGGAGTATAGCCAAGACAAGCTAGAATGATGGGCCAAAACACCAAGTATACTAGGCTAGTGAGCAAGGTTTACACTACAAGTGTAAGAAGCATGCAAGAGGTGACCTTGTCGACCAAAATCAGAGCTAAAGAATGCCAAAATAACACCAAAAATGGGCTGAGACTAAGCCAACACATGCTAGAATAACAAGCTAACTCATTAGGCATGCAAGGCTAGCAAAGAGGATGTACACTACAAGTGTAAGGAGCATGCAACAAGTGATCAAACCAACCTAAAATAGAGTTATAACATGTTAAAAAAATCACAAAAACATGCTCAAACTAAGCTTCAAGAAGGGAGAAATACATGCTCGTTTGATAAGCCAACAACACATGCTAACAAGACAAGAGGAGAGGGGACCACCCCCTCCTATTTGGGACCTCAAAATAGGTTTTCTACCACTAAATTCCTCTGGATTTCAGTGGTTAAAAGGCTGCGAAAAGTTATTTTGAAAGGCCTTGAGAGATAGCTCAAAAGGCTTTACAAGCCAAGAAGCAAAAGAGAGAGACAACCCCCTAGCCAAACAAGGCTTAAACTACCATTTTGAGGACTGAAAAACAGAGCTTTTTCTAGTTCAAAAGAACCCCAAAAACAGCCCCAAAATAGTTGAAGAAGATGGCAAAACAAGCTATGTAAAACAAGTTTAAAGGGGAGAGTTTATACCTCTTGAAGCCAAGCACCAAAACAGGCAAGAATCTGAGCTCAAATCACCTTTTGGAGCCCAACCAAAGTCCCAAGTAAGCTTCAAGCAACCTCCTCCCAAAGATAGGCAACTTTGATCAAGGATGCATAGGCAAACTAGGCATGTTTCTCTACTTCTATGCACAAGAGGGCAAGAGAGAGAGCAAACTAGAGAGAAAGGCAGAGATTTAGCTCTGAAAATTGTAGAGAGAGAGAGAGATTTTAGTGTGAGAAGCTCTCAAACTTTCCAAAATGTTCTAACCCCTTGAATATGAGATATAAGGCTCTCATATATAGCAAAATATCAACTTGGGTCAAAATATCTGATTTGAGACAGCTGGAGCAAGCTGGAAATAGCTGGAGGAGAAATATCTTCAAAAATTCTGAGTTTGTGTCACTCTTGGCCGACCGGCCATCTTTGGTGCCAATCTGCTACTTGTGATGGCCGACTGTGCACATTTGTGGCCGATAGGACATTCTGCTCTGCAGGTCCAACTTCAAACGGGCATAACTCCTTCATATGGACTCCTTTGCATGTCATTCTTGTGTCCAAAATGAAGCCCCGGAAGTAATATTTCCAATGGTAGCAGCCTTGCATCAAATTTCCAAGTGTGCTAAGAGATATCCCTCTTTAACTGAAGACTCCTCAGTTTCGATCCAACCGGATTGATGCCAACTTTAACCCATCATATCTCCCCTATTCGGACTCGGCTTTAGGAGACTCTTGAGTGTAAAATGAAGCCCCGGAAGTCTTATTTCCAATGCTGGTGGCCTCATATCTTAAATCCAAGTGTATAGATAGATAGGCCTAATTTAGCGAGGACCGCTCGACTCTCTCTTAGCGATTCATACCCACCTCCTTCTTCAACTTGGTTTCTTCCCTCCACTCCTCTTTTCTTCAACTTCAAACCCCTAGACAAGGTGTTTTGAAATATTTTTCAAAGATTTCACCTCTCCTTCATTTATTCCACTTTGTCTTTTCTCGGTTTACTGAAAGCGCAACATTTAACAAAATGCGAACGTCGGAACATCGTAGGAACTTTTTCAAAAACTATTTTGAAAGAGAGGGTTTCAAGGTCTAAAATATTTTGATCAAGATTGTTTTGGTCCAAGAGGGGTATGAAGTTGGGATTTGACTCTCTCCTTGCCAAAAAAATCGAACCCTTGCACTGCACAACTTCCATCACCAAGTAAACCATCAGTAGTGCCCAAGTCTTAAGGGCGGTAAAAAATGGAGTGTCTGCAGGCTTTCTTCACTAAGCTGAAGAAAGGTTTACATTTTTCAGAGCTTCTGCTTATGAATCGATTCAGGGCTGCAGCCCTTCCAGTCAACATCTGCACTTGCTTTGCCGATGTTAGGCTCTCCAACTCCAAAATGGCCTTGATTTGGTCGGGGCTAGCCTCAATGCCCCTTATGGTAACCAAGTATCCTAGGAACTTACCAGACCCAACTCCAAATGCGCACTTTGATGCATTGAGTCGGAGCTGATATGTTCTAAGGATGTCAAAAACTGCCTTTAAGTCTTCTAGATGATCCTCAGATTCCTTGGTCTTGACGACCATGTCATCTATGTATACCTCCACCATTTTGCCTATTAAATGTCTGAACATCTTAGTCACCAGTCTCTAGTAAGTTGCTCCTGCATTTTTTAACCCGAAAGGCATCACTCTGTAACAATACAGCCCTTTTGGGGTGATAAATGCAGTCTTCTCATCATCTGGGGGGTACATAGCTATCTGATGATACGCCCTATATACATCCAGGAAGCTCATCCTTCTATGCCCTGAAGTGGCATCCACCAATTGGTTAATCTTGGGTAATGGAAAACTGTCTTTGGGACAAGCCTTGTTCAAGCTGGTGAAGTCGACGCAGACCCTCAACTTCCCATTCTTTTTCTTCACAACCACCGTGTTTGATAACCATGTCGGGTAATTTACCTCTCGAATGGCCCTGGCCTCCAAAAGTTTATCCACTTCCTCTTTTACTGCCTCGACATACATCAACATCGGCCTTCTTGCTCGCTGGATGACAGGTTTAGCCAACCTGTCCACATTTAGTCTATGGCAAGTGAACTTGGGGTCAATGCCAGGCATCTTGTACGGCGTCTAGGCAAACACCTCAATGTTTTCTCTCAAGAACGCCTCTAGCTCTTTTTCCTCTTCCTCGGCCAAGCTAGAGCCGAGAAGGAAGAAGCGCTCTTCATCCCCTTGCTGGACAAGGATTTTCTTCAAGGCTTCCTCACTTTTCTCTACTGGCTCTTTGCCGACGTCATCCAGGACTTCCATGTCCTTATCCTCGATCTCTACTGTTTCTGCTTCTCGTATGTTGCAGGTGGATTTCATTGCTTCCATGGAGCGATTCTTCGCCTGCACCTGATCCCTTCTGACCTTCTTAATTCCGTGCTCTGTTGGGAACTGCAACAGCTGTTGCAACGTTGAGGTAACAACCCCCATTGCATACGGCCATGGCCTTTCCATGATAGCATTGTAAGGGGAGGGAGTGTCAATTTCTGTGAACTCAGTTTTTACCTTTTTGGTGCTAGCCTGCACCTCCAAACTTACTGTCCCCAGGGGCCACGTCGGCGTTCCATTGAACCCGATCATTGGACCATTGGATTGTTCCAGATCATCTTGGTGAAGGCCAAGCTCCTTGTAACACCTGACATACATGATGTCGCAAGAGCTGCCCTGGTCAATTAAGATGTGCTTCACTTGGAATTCTCCAATCTGGAGGGATATTACCAAGGCATCGTTGTGTGGATACTGCACCATCTCTTGGTCGTCTTCAGTAAAGGACACCACTGGTCCCTGGCACTCATCTGTCCTAGGTCTTTTCTGCCTGACCTGGTACACATGTTACAAGTGTTTTACCTTCTTGGTCTCCCCACGTATTTCGTTCTCATTGACCTTCAAGTGAATCACATTGATCACTCGAGGTCTGCCTACCTGCGATTGTGTTGCTGGAGGAGGCAGTGCTGCCGGTGCTTGAGGTAGTCTTGCTTGCTCTTTCCTTGTCCTGGCCTCGTCTACAAGGTCCCTTAAATGACCTTGTCTTACCAGGTCTTCCAGATGTGCCTTCAGGGCTCTACACCCCTAAGTCAGATGCCCATCTTCATTGTGGTAAGCACAGTGCTTACCAAGGCTTCTTCCCATAAATTCGCCCGGAACCCTTATTGGTGCTCTATAATAGGGTTGATTTCGGATTTTCTCCAAGACTTTATAAATCAGGATTCGGAATACGGTTATGACTGCCTGCACAGCCCTTAATATTGTTTCTGGTTTATTGTATCCGCTATTACCTCAACCTCATTTCGGCAAGTCATTTCCCTTCTCTTGTTTCGACGCCTTTGTCCCCAGCGTGTCTTCCTCGGCCCTCGCATACTTCTCAATTCTAGCCATCAGTTCCTCTATACCTTTTAGCAGTGTCTTCGCTAATGATTTTCGAAGCAAACAATCATCTTTCAAGTCGTTCTTAAAAGACACGACCGCCGCCTCTTGGTTGCATCCTCTTATCCGGTTGAATACTCATAATACTTCTTGGCATAGGCCCTAAGGTTTTCATCCTCACTGATTCTCAAAGCCATCAGGGAGTCCACCCTTAATGGCTGCAGCTTGTTTGTCACAAACCTGGCCACGAACATCTCGGCCAGGCCTTTCTAGGTTTTCACAGTTCCTTTCGGCAACTTGTGAAACCAATCCGATTCAATTTCCCCGAAGGATGAGGGGAACACCTTGCAAAGCAACGGCTCGTTCCCGGTATATAGTGCCATCGAGTTCAAGTAAAAGCCGACGTGAAAATTAGGGTCCGACTTACCGTCGTATATCTAGAATCTCGGCATACTAAACCTTTTCGGGGCCTCAAATTGGTCCAACTCTACCGAGAACAAGAACGGCGTTCTCGGCTTAACCAGGGAGGTTACCTCGGCATCCTGTCACTTCCTCTGGAGGTAATCCCTCAGATCCTCCTTGGTCCGTCCAGGAGCTCGGCTATCACCGGATTTCAGCCTCTTCGGTGAGCTACTTCCAGTGTCATTATGAGTCCTTTTGGACCTCCTTCCATTGGTCGTGTCGAAATAGAGTTCCTTCCTTTGAACATCCCGATGTTCTTTGGTGCATGCTTCTTTGGTTCAACGTGTCTTCTGGGATTCTCTTCTCGTTGATTCTTCTTGCCCGTCCTCCCATGAAGGCCGGTGAGAATGTCCCTTGGTCCTGTCGTGCTGAAGGACTGCAGAAATTGTTTTCTGCCCCCCCTTTCGGGCATCTCTCTTGGCTGCTGGAATCGGCGTATCTTGTAATGGAAACAATGGCTGCATGATGTTGTTCTGTATCATGAAATTGACGATCGTTTGCAGGTCCACCAATTTGTTTTCCATTCCCTTCATCTCGTCATCCCTCCGCAGGCATCTATCTTTCCATACCTGGAGGTCGTCCTCGTTGTAATACCCGCTTCGATCTGATTTCTTTGGTACATCGCCCTCCTGGCCGACGTCTTTCTATCCGAGATCATGATCTCGAGTTTCTTCTTTGCAATCATCCTCCTCTACGTTGGGATCAAAGTGTTTACCACTCCCAGTAGGGATGTTGTCCCCAACCTTTTCTTTCTATCCGCCGTTGGCCATCTATTCTCCTTTTTTTCCCACAGACGGCGCCAAATTGTGTGTGTCAATTTCCGACCACACTGCCAAACAGGCACTCAGCTGGAAAGCACCGGCAGAATAGATTAAGCCTGAACAACCTGTCACAGAAAGATAAGATTCTGGCGGTGGTTCATCCACCCGAGGGCACTCCAACAATCAAGTCAGTTATCTCTCAAAGATAGCAAAAGTGCTTAACTCACTATTCAGAATACAAAAATCGTACCTTAGACCTACGAGGGCGTCTTACTTTTATAACCAGCACTGACCTGATCCCTGTAGAAGTCTAGCTTCAATGGATTCTGGCCCAATGCTTATCCAGGACTCTCAAAAAGATAAAGATAAACTCCCTAAGAGCTTTATCCTTATCCAGGATGAAGTCCTCTCTCATTCTAGGACTCTTGTAACTTATCCGCTCATCTCGGATTCCGGTATCTCCGCAGATAACCTCGGCCTAACCAAGATCATCTCGGCGTCATGACCAAGACACGTGACCCCTCGGCTAGCACTTCGGTGTCACCTTGGCCACGTGTTGTCATTCAAAAATTATGTCTCCACAAAAGTATAGGATTATTATAGGATAAATTATAATATGTTTTAAATTTTTAATTATATAATAAATAATCCCTTCTGTTAATAAATTATTAAATCAATTAATAATTTTTAATGATAACATAAATATATTTCAATTAACAATTCTGTTTTTTATTGTTGTATAAAAGAGTAATTAGGATTTTTTTTTAAATTCTGTTAAATAAAAAATTCTGACAATGGAGTATTTGTAATTTCTAAAGCAACAGGGAACAATTTATATTTTAAACAAATCTCAAAATGCGTATTTATAATTTACCCTTAATTATATTTTTTATTATTAAATATGATATTAATGTCACATTGGTTATTACTGTTTAAATCGTGTGATTTTAATCTTCAGTATATAAAAGTAGTTTCAATTTTGTTCCCAAAGTAAGTTTGGTCAATAAACACATTAAAATTAGGGATAAATGTAAAATTATTTTTAAAATATTACACTTTTTGTACTGGAATTATGTAATTTGTGTCACTAATATGAAAATTACTTACAAATTTAGACTTTTAGTCTTAAAAATATGTGATTTATGTTTTTTTGATGTTCAAAATTACACATTTATCCTTGATTTAAAGGTGTCTATTGGTAGAATTTGATTTTGAGACCAAATTAAAACACTTTTTACTAGGATTGTACAAAATATCCAATAAATTGAAGAATCGGACCAACTCGACCTTTTGGGTTGGTTTGGTTCAGTTTTTGAATAATTGGTTTAGTTCCAGGTCTTCAAATAATCAATCGGATAGAATTGGGTTAGTTCTTGATTTCGGCTTTGTCTAAACTGAACGAACCCAAGAACTGAACCTATATTATATAAAATTTTATTTATATTGACATGTCTTCACCTAACTGATCTGTTATAATGGACTTGATTGCACATAATAATTTCTCACATAAAAAAAAAATCTTATTGGATTTAATTTGTATTAATTGTGTTTGAGCTTGAGTTGAACCTTACTATACTATTCACAATTATTCACATGATTTAAACAATATTTTATTCAATCAGATTTGTTTATTTTAATAATTTAATATTAATTGATTCATTTATTTTTTGTGTAGTGGAACTGTGGTTTCAACTCAAACCAATTTGAGCTACATTGGGCTGGGTTGGATTCATTTTAGTACATGATTGGTTTGATCCTAAGTCCAAAAACTTAGACCCATTCATAATTGGATTGATTTCAAATTTAATGACAATTTGAACCAAACTGACCAATGAACATCCTTACTTTTTACAAATTGGGGATCAAATTCACACATTTTGAATATTGAAAACTAAATTGACACAAATCATGTATTTTGAGAATTAAAAATATAAATAACCCTAAAATATATAACAAGTGTATAAAAAATATTAAAATATGTAGAAATATGTGAAATGTATAATGAAATTATATTATTTTGAATGAAAACCCATTAAACAGTAGGGAAATATTTAGGACCCATAAAAAACTCTCACAATTTGACCCACATTGAGTTAGTATGATAGATGTCAATTTTTAATTAGTTAGGCCATCCAATCCTTCATCAAATGTATTATTGAATTCAAATTTGATGAAAAATTAGTTAAAATAGTGCTCCAACCATTTCATCAGATTCATATCAAATGAAGGGAGAACTATATTTTTCATCAAATTAAAGAAATTTTTATCCTTTCATCAAATTTTGCAGGTGGTCGTTGGTTTTGCAATCGCTTCAACCGTACTCCTAGGCAGGACGATCAGCCGGACAACCTACGTGTCAACCGAATTTTTGGATGAATTAGGAATTTTATAAAAAGATTTGAAGAAAATTTACCCTAAGCAAGATGACCGACCGATTTGATGAAAATTTTAAATTTACCATTGGAGTGTATCATATCATGTTAAACTTTTCATTAAATTTTTACTCAAATTTGATGAAAATTTTGATAAAACGTTGGAGATGTTCTTACACATCCAATGATATAAGGCCTACATTCCTTGCCACATTATTATGGATGAATTTGTGGTGTTAGGAGGACCTTAAACAACAATGTTATAATGGAAAAAGTTTTGTATATCAATGGCACTATCTTTCCACCAATCACAAATATATATGCACTCTAATGTTCCCCAAACAATAATATGAATTATATTCCATTACCTTCCACGAATCATAATAGGATCTCTTTATAATGAGTATGTTCAATTTTTCAAGGATAAATTACACCTGCAAATTATACCTTAAACAGCAGACCCACATATATT